GGGACCCGCCCTAGTTGCCCCTGCGGCCCCCACTGTGAACCCAGAGGCTGGCCGCCCAGCGCGGCCGCGGTCGGAGTGGAGAATCCGGGTGGATGAGGCGGCGGCGGTAGCGTCCAGAAATGGGAGGGCGCCGGACCACCCCCGCCCCGCTTCCTGGAGGCCGCAAAGAGCGATTAAACACCAGACACTCTTGCCGCCAAACCTGTGTCTGTCTGTGTGTGTGGGAAGGTGGAAGGGGCTGGCGGCGCCTGACCCCTGGAGGGGGCGGGCCAGAGTGACGGGCTGTCCCCAGGGTGCCCCCTGACACCTCAGAGCTAGAGAAGGGGGAATCCGGAGGGCTTCCAAATTGCAGAATATTCTCCTCACAGCATGGGTGGTCGGTAGAATTAGAGAAAGCCAGGTTCCAAGTCCTCACTCCTCCATGTTCATTGTGTAACCTCTGCCCAAGTCCCTTCTCTCTGAGCCTCTTTTTCTCATTTGCAAAATGGGACTATTTCCCCCAACACCTGAAACAGACCCGAAGACTGTGGGTCATACATGTAAACCGCAGCCTCCCTCTGAGCTCCTTTGACAGCAAATGGCAGAAATCCAACAAGGCCTGCCTTGCCCAAGAAAGGGCAAGAAAGCCGACACAGTACCGTATTCAGGGCTCAAATGAAATGGTCTGGTCTCCCCATCTCTTGGCCCTCCTTTCTCCTGTTGGCTTCACTGTGCAGGCTCCCCCTTCTGGGAGAGAAAAATGGCCCCAGGTAGCTCAGGTACCCCAGAGGTCCTGTTCCTCAGGAACTCTCTCATTGGCCCTCCTGGGGTAGGAGGCAGCCCCCTCAAGTGGCCCAAGACTGGGAGGCTGGGACGGATGGAGCCTTAAGGCATCAAAGGCAGGCAAAACAGCTGTCTGCCATGAACACTTAGCAGAAGCACGTTAAATGGGGCCTGATAACACCAAGCAACAAGGCGACAGTGGTTTAGTTTTCTCACTCCATTTAATGCCGTTTAATCTCGCTAGGAGGAAATACTGTCCCCCATTTGTGCCCTCCTGAGTGTCTTCACGGATCATAATTTTAAGCTAGGTATTTATGCATTTCCTTCTTGGTTACTGGGGATGAAAATGACACCTGCCCAAAGGGGCAATTGTGGGCACCACTTGAGCCAGTTCAAGTGTGAAGTGTGCAGCAGAAGGCCCCCCAGCGTGTCACTTTCACCATGCACCCCCAAGTGTCAGTGGCAGACAGGATCTGGCAACCATGTGGCCCACCGGTGGGAACACTCCTGAAGGATGTTCTTGGCTCCTATTCCCTAAATACGAGGGTTGTGATCAGTCAAATCAAAACTAAAAATATACCCATTTCCAAAAGCCCCTTAGGGGGTGCTCCCACCCCTGAGAACCAACAGGCCTCAGCCACTTTGGTTCACAGAGGGAACCGTGGTCCAGAGTGCGCTGGCATCTCCTGGGTTTGTCTGAATGGTGAGGGCTCTGGGTCTGGACTCAGTGGGACCCATGCTCCACCGCTAATTAGGTGGTGACCCCTGGTAGTTAAGACTCAGAACCAGATTCCCCTGAGGCCCAGAAGGCCTGTTACCTCCCTGAGCACCCCTCCCTCCTCCACCCTCATTCTGCTTCAGCTACACTGGCCATCTTGCCAGCCCTTGAACCTCTGCAGGTCTCTGTCAGGGGTCCTCCCCCCACATATCTGTGAGTTCCTGAGCCTGCCCCTGCCCTCTTCCTGGGCTTCCCTTGGATGTCCCCCTTTCCATGAAGGTGTCTCTGACTGATGTATTAAATTTGCCCTCCTCAAACGAACCCGCCAAAACCCCTCTCCCGGCCCCACCCCTTTTTAAAATAACATTTACCACCATTCAACAGACACCAACTTTATTTGTCCATCACTTCACTGCTCCTGGAACCTGGGACCTGGAGGCTACAGTAACAGCCCCACTTTATGGGACGGTTAGAATGAGTAGATTCACTCAATAAATGCACACTCCTAGTAGTGTTTTCCTGGGGGCGGGGTGGGGTCTGTACCCACCTCCCCCCACGGGCCCAGGGACTGACTAGCAGGTTGGGGGTCCCTGCAGCTCTGGGACCAGCTCACTCCGGCACACAATGACAGATAGGCAGGGCCAGGCTGCTGGTTTATTTGTCGCTGGAGGTGGTAGGTGGCAGTGGCGGGAGGGGCGCCCTGTCCCGGCTTGCCTCAGCTCTTGCCTCAGCTCTTGGAGTAACGCCTCTGCAGCGATTCCCGGTAGAAGCGGAAGACGTGCTGGGAGGCGGTCTGGGCTGCTGCCAGGCACTGCTGGAGCTGGGAGGGGAGACAGGTCAGTGCTCAGGGCCCGGGCCTGCCCCCTGGAGGCTCCCCCAGGCCCCACCTGATTCCCAGAGTCCCCAAACCTAGCTCCCCGCAAGTAAGGCAGGTGGTGTGGGGATTACTCCAAGTGCACCCCCTCCTCCCCGACTGCATGGGCTCCCGAGAGGAGAAAAGGAGAAAAAAAGACAAGGGGAAGGCTCCAGGGGTCAGATTCCTGCAGCTCCAAGCCCTCAGACCAAGGGGATAGGGCATCCTGACCCCTGGAAGTGACCCCAACCTTGTTGAGCTTTGGAGACAGAGTTTGGAATTTTAGAGCCACAGGCCCTGTGACATCAGTCTTACAAGCCATGGGATCTGAGACACCCCAGATCTTTACTGCCACGTATGCCTGGATTCACAGGAGGGCCAGGTTGGAAATGCTCTTGGAGACCAATTGATCCAACAGTTGCCAAACTGTTTTTCAGACATTCCAAACTCCAAGGTGCACAGCTCTGGGCTGGAAGCTGGGAGGCCTTCAGGTGCCCCTACCTCTTGATTTCAACCTGAGCCCTTCTTCTATTCTCATAAGTTGGGCTTCCCTTTAAAATTCCCACAAAGGTTTCTATGGCTACAAAGTTTGAACACTCCTCTTTACAGAAGGGATGTAGGGAAGGAGCTCGCCTTAAGCCTCTGAGGATTGGGACAGGACCTGACGTTACGTGGGAGGGAGGGATCTGACAGTCACCCCTAATCACACGCTGGTACCTCAGCATCGGAGTAGAGCCCCTTGGTGGTGGACATCAGCAGCTTCCGCTCCACGCTGTCAAGTGCAAACGTCAGGACTGCCCGGGCCTCCTAGGGACGAGGGGTACAAGGTGGGGGACCTGGGACTCTCACCTCAGACACAATCTCACCTGGTCCCAAAGAAGGGGCTTGCTTTTCTCCCAGCCAGGCACTTATGTATCAAGTGTGTGTGGTTCCCCCCCCCCTACATATCATTCCTTCCCTGCTTCCCTGGATAACTGCCTCCCACGCCAGACTCCACCACACGGTTCTGACAGGGGCTTCTGAGCACAGTCTCCTGTGCCACAGGGGCAGCCACAGTGCCCATCATTCCCTGGTGCCTTCCAGCCTCCCTCCAGTGCTCTGTACCCCTGGGGCTGGAAGCCAGCAAATTCTGTTTCCCAGATTCTTCCACCAGTAAGATTCTACCAGTAATCTGGGGGAATACTGGAAGGAGGGAGAGCAGAATCTTGGTCCTCCCTGCAGCAGGAGTTTGGGGTACACCACCTGCCACAGTAGCCATGGAGGTGGGCTGGGCCCTGGACTTCAGCAGCCGGTGCAAAGCCAGACCATTTCTAGTTCCAACTGCACCAGTGTCTCCAACAGCACAGACTAGGACTTGCCTTCAGGCTTCTAATCTCTGGGTGGCCTCCCTTCTTCCGTTTTGCTCCTGCAGCTCTTCCAACATGGTTGTAACCAGGTCCCAGCATTAAATTCCCTCTGTCTGAAATCCCCCAAGGAGTTTCTGCTTTCCTGACTGGATGTGACTGTTACAGTCCTGGGCAAATAACTGTGAATAACCAGAGCCCTAGCACACTGTGCACTTGAGAAAAAGTTCTCTCCTCCTTTGCTTTTGATTTTCAGCCTCTTAAAATTAACTCCCTTTTTGCTTAGATGGGTTAGAGTTGGGTTTCTAGCACTTGCCCAGATGAACAGAGCAGAGCTCGCCAGTTGGGACTGAGGTGGAACAAGCCAACAGTTTTGGAGAAGCGAGGCCTAGAGGAGGAGAGGGAGCGTCTGCCTGAGGTCTTTGACCACCCTGCCCTTCATACCTACCTTTTCCTGCTTTGCTGTGGGGTCCAGCATGAGGGTCCCATCAGAGTCCAAAGCACAGGTGACCCCACAGAATAGGGCCCGCATGGGTACCCCAGCGTCTACCAATGCCATGCAGGCAGCATTCAGGCAACAGGCCAGGAGCTGAGTGCCACAGGCAGTGGTTAAGTTTCTACAACACATGCATGCCTCCATTCACCCTGCTATTGCTTGTGGCAGACATCACTAATTGCTCACAAAAAAACAGAATGGGAAAGTAGTGCTGGGATCCACTATCCTTGAGTTCCAGACTTGAATTTGCCACCCGTAAGCTGTGACCTCGAGCAAGTTACTTACTCTCTCTGAGCCTCAATCAGGAATCATAATGATATGCAACAGACAGGAACCTTCAAGGAAACTGAGGGCGGAAGCCTTCCAAGATCACACAAGGAGGCAGTGGCAGGGCCAGGCCTGGAGCTTGGGAATTGAGCAGGTGGTGCTATCAGGTGACAGAGGGATGAGGCAGTATCCTGGGAGCCCACAGTCCGGGGAAGAGGTGTGGTTGGGGTGCGGTGCGAGGTGAGCAGTGGCCTGAGTCAGACAGCTGGCCACACCTCAGGTTCCTCAAGTCTCTCCTCCCCAGGCCTAATGTGGCAGATAAGGGCCCAGCTTTACAGTCAGTCAGTCCCACCTCTGCCACTGACCCTACATTACCTCCCTTCCGTAAAATGGGTTCACAACAGATCTCTTCTTCCCCGTCTATGAAGTATCTGACCAGCACAGGGCCATGCACCAGCAGAGCCTTCTAGAAAGGCTGGTTTCTGGTCCTTGGCCTCCACCTTTCTCACCCAAACCACAGCGATCTTTCAAGGCTGAGCTGCTGAACCAACTGCTCTGCCTGCTTAGGGCTCCTCCAGTGTTGAACCTCAAATCCAAGCTCAGGGTCAGAACAGAGGTCAATGGCACAGGCTTTGGAGTCAGATAGGCCTGGGTGTGAATTCAGCCTCTGCTGCCTTCCAGCCACGTGACCTTGAGCAAGCAAACTCCCCTCTCTGGGCCTCGGTTTCCTCACATGAAACATGGGAACGGAACACCCACCTGCTAGGGGCCTTGAGC